AACTATATTACTGTAGACTTAATATTGCTATTGAAATAACCATTTATAAGTTACCATGTATAATTAACATTGTTTTGCAATTAAGACTCGTAAATGATTTCGACTTTGAAGACAAGCAATTCAAATTTGATTTTGAGAAAATAAATTTTCGTAATATCAAAAACAGTTTTATATGTCAAAATCTGCAATAGAATAACGAAAATAAGCTGTGGTTACTGTTAACCACGACTTTTTGTACGAAGATACGTGCAATGAAACATATTGCGATTTAGTTGAAGACATGCTGTTTTCCGTACCCCTTCCTTGCAAAAGCAATTGTCACAAGCAAAATCAAACCAATAGGCTAGTAAACTTGCGCTCAAATTAAATCTTTGATGCAGTACCAATTGTTAAAACATTTTACAAGAATGTTCGGGCTTATATATCTCCACAATTTTTCATAGAACATTGAAGACATGGAATGTCGTACTTAAGTGAGAATGAGTGATTAACATCTGCCCTTTCTAAAGGTAATAAACTGATTGCGCCCGATTGACAATATAAATAAACTTTATTGTACAGACAAACAGAGGTATTTATCAGACCTGCATTTACATTTGGCAACTCATTCTACAGTTGTCAAATGGTTGGAAAGGTTGTACAGGTACAATATTATATCTGTTCACTCGAGTATTTTGTAATGAAGTCTGGTGAGTGGTTGAAATAATAAAGATAACTGATATAATAACATCTGCACTTTCTAAAGGTTATAAACTGATCGCGTCGGATTACGATTGACAATATGAATAAACTTTATTGAACAGACAAACAGAGGTATTTATCAGACCTGCATTTACATTTGGCAACTCATTCTACAGTTGTCAAATGGTTGGAAAAGTTGTACAGGTACAAACATGATATGTGTTTCATACGGAAAATGGATAGTAACTACAAAATTTATCAAATAAACATGAAAAGCACGATCCTTTTAATTATGCATAGATGAACCAGAAATGACATTACAACAAATGTCTTCTGCTGTTTGATTATGATCACGCTCAATTTTTCAATATTTTACAATTACTATCAACATATTTTTAACAACCTAGCAAACACTTTCAGATTTAGTTGCAAAAAGTACAACTTTGTAAATGTTACAACCCAATCGTCAGTCGACCATAACTTAAGATCATCATTGAATTGCTAGATTACCTTAACATTTTCAATTCCGTTGCAGCAGTGTCGGTGGTATGGATCATAATTGTGTACATAGACACAGAAGCGTGTTTTAACGTACAGACTCAATCAAACCGAGTCTGCATTTTGCACTTAATTTTGTTGTGAATAATGCTTCTGATGGAATCACTTTGTTTCCAGATTTTATTACTGGATTACAGTACTTCCATGAACAGGGTCAAGAAAACCAAGCCTGCGATACTTTTAATTTTGCCGCCGTTTTGGACATTGTTTAGGGAATTCATGTTTGGCCATTTTTCAAATGAGGTCATATGACATTGACACATTCCTTATTCTGTGCATATCTCATGTAATAATACACTCGACTGCCCATCCTGTTGAACGGGGGATTATTATCAAGCGTGTTATATTTTATGTAAAACACTCTTTTGAAACAGTTATTTTAAGAAGTTGATCATCAATCTTAGCTTTCGTGAGTGGGTTGCTTTAGACAAAATGCATGTTTTTTTTTGTTGTTGTTTTTAACTTTGTTTTGTTTTGGCTTGTCAGTTATATGTCAATATAATGATTAAATGTTATAACAAAAACAAGTACAATAAGTATACTTTACAAGTATTAAACATTCCGGGAATTGCGGAAGTCTCTTTTATTTTCCTTAAGCCTACGAGATATTAACATGGTGTTTATACAAAAAGATTGATGCTTAATTTAGAATATATGTTAACAGGACGCAAAGATCGATAAAATAAATTTATAATGACGGAAAATTGATATATGAAGAGCGTAATCGGAAAAATGTGATGCAATGTGCAACTGAGTTCATAAAAAAGATTTCAAAGGCAAGTAAAACATTTCTTACTTCTATTTCTAATTATAGTTGATTGGTTATCAAACTATGCTAAAAGTGAATTCGATCAATTAATTTTTTTTTAAAACGCTTCTTATAAAAATCATTTACATATCTCTAATACAGATGCTGTAATGATACTTTCAATATCACGATAAACAGATTCACTCAGTGATGTTATGCAAACGTATTGCGCCACATTACTCGTATTCAGTATGCATGTGTAAAATGGTGGTCTTTTCCTGCATTGATTGTTATCTCAAGGGAAGATTTCATACGAAAAAGTACTCCTTATAATATAAAAATATACAGCCACTTTTACATGGTTATTGTTTGACTAGTTTGACTAGTAGATCAAATACGCTCTTAACGTTCTTATGAACTATTAAAACAGACACATCAAACATTTTGTAAAGTCTTTCATTGTAATAACTGGTCAGTTAAGACGGTGTTTTTGTCTACTTTGAAAACAAAATACCTTTAAAAGGGATGATATATAAATAGAACGCGAATAAGTTGTGTTGTCCTGTTCCTCTGACCAAATACACGAAGTTAGATTCAGATCGATGTTTCGTAAATACCTTTTATAATACATAATCATTATGGATGTTCTCAAAAACATTTCCTACAGTGAAACACCTTCCATAGCTGTTGATTCTGTCTTTGTATGTGTGTGAGACCTCTTCGATTTCCCACCTAATTAAGTCGATGTAATGGTTGCAGCAACGTGCACGGATGAATCGAAATAATCAGTAAGAAAAAACATAATGAAAAGATAAGAAAGCGAATGCAGTCAACGAAAGTTTTTTCTATGTAAAAGTTTATTCTATGGTTACAAATAAACATATAGAGAATGAAAACTACATAATGAAGTTTATTTAAACGTTGGATAATTTTAGAATATGATCACAGAAACCGTAAAAAAACCGATAGATTTTTACTTTTTTAAACCTTTAAAATGTAACCTTCGTAAAAATGAAAAATGCATTGAATTCCCTTAAACATTTATGATCCCTTCATCCAAGTCAACATCATAGACAAAACAATTTTGTAAATAGGCCATTTATTATGAAATTGAAATTACGTTGAGTATGTAATAGAAAGAGCACCGAAACACGAGGTTATCTGATTTGTACGAGGGGGCGTAGCCCCCCGAGTATTAATCAGATTACCGAGTGTATTGGTGTTCTTTCTCTTTTGTATCATAGTCAAACATAAAAACACGTTCCCTGTTGTTACAATATGAAACCCCGGCAAAAATGAACCAATGAACGAGCATCTAAATATGACATTTCTGTCGATTTCACTTTCACTGCCGTCACAATATGTAAACCCCAGCAAAAATGAGACAATCAATAGGCATGCTCTGGAGTGCGGGTAACTAATACGCGCACTCCAGTTAACGCACTGTGCAGGTATATGTATACGATTTAACCCTGACACATTTTCAACAGAAAGGTCTCCAAACTATGATACAAATTGAAAATAGCGTTATGTCAAGTTAACCCCTCAAAATAGACATTGATTGTATCGGGCCCACCGCACTGCGTATCCACTGCCGTCTGCGTGACAGTAAAATGTAATAACTTTTGTCAATTCTTTTGTTAACAGGCAAAAACAATTTCAAAAAGTTCATAAATATGGTTGCTTTGTCTTAGTGTCATCCATACGATGTAATGCCGGTGTATTTATGAGCCGTTCCACACACATTTGTATGTGTTTTTAACCAAAATTCTGCAAAGTTGCGTCCACACGTCAAACTGTACAGAAGTGTTTGGATAAACGGCAATGAATTACATGGTGTTCGTTTAATATGTTGACTAGTACAAATGTTGGTTCCATTTTCACTAGGTGTTTCCCGTAAAACGTTAAAACATACAGCAAACGACCATTTTTTATCCGCCTATCTTGCGATGAATACCCTCCCTGCCGCCGCTTCTGCGAATGCTTTGACCAGGGTGTACCTGATAAGTTCAGATATTCTGGTGTGTTTTTCGTTTTTTTCTTGTCCATGAGAAAACTTACAGGGTCATGAATGTTTTTTTAATTTCATTATTTTGGCCAAACTCAATAAGTTATTTTGTAAAATAAACTCAGTAAGTCCTTATGTAAAATTAACTGTTCATTGGAAAGTGTTATAATTCTAACGCAGTGTAAAATGGTTTGTTGGAGGAAGTATAGTTAAAAAACGAACTTGAATATCTGAGCAATTAAACTAGAAAGGTAAAGAACTATCCAGACTGAGTATATTTGTTTAGAACTATAGTCAACATTTATTTGATAATGGTAAGAACTATCATTAAAATAATTTTAGAATTACAAGAACTATCCTAAACATTTTAAGAATGGTCAATAATTTAAGTTTGTAATGGAAGTGAAACTGATTTTAGACAGCCTTCGATCGAAACAAAAAGACATTACATAATTTCAAGCTATTTTTAGAATTCCCAGTCGTGCACGTTGTCCACAAGTCAATTTTGTTCTCCATCTTGTATATTTTGCTTTGTGTTCATTAATGAATTAATTCATCTTATGTTTCAATTTACAATCGGATGTATTTTGGTTCAATTGGTTCATTTCTTTCAGATTTTGTGCAGTCATACATGTACTTCATGCACATGTACAGTCATTTGAATTTTATTGCATTTATTAAAAAAGTGTTATAGAAATAGAAAACTAACCCGGACATGGTAATTGACACGACAACCGTGAATTATTTTGATGAACTTTACACAAGTATGGCGGAAATTAAGTAATGCTGATTCATAATGTATTTACCATATTGTTCAGGAACTTAATATTTAAATCGCACTGAACATCAACTATTTTTCCAGTTAACGATACGTGTATTGGTTAACACTTCGTTGTAAGTATGTATAAATGAAATCTTTGAAACATTTTTTGTACTTCTGTAATAATTTCCTTCCAAGAAATAGCTTGAGTATAAGGAAAAATTGTCGTAACTTCAAGACGCAATTTATGTACTACTTTTCGTATGTTTGACAAGCAAATAGTGAAACAAATTCTATTCTTTACAAAGGCATTTACAGACAAGATAGGACTTACATAAGGCAAGTCTCTACATGCAAATGTACCTGATATGGCTTATGTGGACAGGTTACTCGCTTTTGTCAAATATGTAAGTATTAGAGTGCATCATTCTTTTCTTCCGAAAATGATTTCTTTCAGAAAGGCTGTTACTATTTATATGTCAATCTTAAAAGTGTGTATCTTATATTTAACCGTTAGTTTTTATTCTTGATATTAATAAATGTAAGATGTCTATAATAGATATGTTCATATAGCTACATATAAGACACTTAAAACTTCTTGCTCCCAGATACAAATACAAACAAAATATTGGTTTTCTTGACACATTTTTACTACACATTATTAAAATGGAAAACAAAACACACAAAATGAACCAAAACACAAAACATTTTATTATTGTTCTTGAAATCAACTTATGCAGTATGGAGTTTAATGTCGTAATTAAACATTAAGACATGTCTTATATTAGATGTCGCATGCAGAAATTTAAATTTATAATACGCATATTAATTTTCAGGAAACTATAGGTCAATAAATTTTTAAAACTTACAAGCGAATAATTCTTTGAAAATGTTTAAATTTCCTTAGTATTAAAAAGAAGATAATGTACTTGAAAGTCATTTCAATCTAAATGTCTCTTGTCGTAGTTAACAATGATGAAATACTTGACCTTTTTATTGAAATCAAAGTAGAGGGATATTTAAAATCTTCCGCAGCCTTTTGTTTTATTTTATTTAAAAAAATCTTTCATTCGAGACCGTAAAGAACTTTCTTCATTACAGTTTTAAGTTAAACAATATTTTCATAGTTCATATAGTGCGAAAAGAAGGAAGAAAAAGTATACGTCTCAAATTTCGTGTGTAGAGCATTCTGCAGACATGTATCTGGACCAGCATTGATTTTCATGTTACATTTAGTGTAAAGAGAAGTAGAGTAGAAAGTTTGCCAAATCTAATATTGTTGTTTTAAGCAAGAAAGCTTTTTCTCTATATCTTAAATTGTGGGTAGTCTTTATGAGTTCATGATTGGATCAGGACAGTTACAACTTTTTAAAAATCGTTCAGTTCAAAATACTATTTAATTTAGACCTAATGTACCTTGCGTTTCAAATGAGGGTCATCAACATCTAGTGTTGCAAATGTTAGACATGTAAATGTTAGATAATTGTAACATAAAAATAATTAAGGTGGAAAATGAAATTAGCCGACGATAAAATACATGAACAATAAGGAGACCCTCGATACTGGTCGAATAAGTAGAGCGGACGTTTTATTTCCAGATCTTATTTGTTTAGAAACGAACGTAACTGATGCGTGATATATAGGTATCCGGATGCTGTTAAGAAGAATGTTTATTAACAGTGATATGATGCACTTTTTTAAGATTAACGGATTCTGCTTTTTATTTTCGATTTGAATGAGTATGTTCTTAGGTTTGCTTCTCGCTACTTGTCTCCCTTTTTACAAATGACACTCAACAAAATGTTTTGTAGAATAAGTTGTTAGTCTTTCATAATTGTTTCCTTATAACCATTATGTTCAATTAAAGACAAACAGTAAAATATTTGTGAAAACAGTTGATACCCAAGACGATGTTCTTCAAAACAAAAGACAGTTGTCAGAATGACACAAAAAAACGTCTACTAGGTAAAAGTAAACATATCATCCCTGGGAAATGTCGGAGTTTCAGAATTTTACGTTGGGGGACATCTTAACTGTTTTCTTTAAACCAATGTATTTCATCATTATTTCATTACCCCGAACAAATACTGGAATTAATTTCAACAAACTGAAACAAAACTGAACATGCGTTAAATCTAATTCTTACATTACACTGTTGAACTCGAGAAGTTACTTTTCATTTTCCTTTTTAAACATGCTTATTTCTACCAGTCATAAAATATTAATAATCAATTACATCATGAAACAATATCAAGTGACCAGTTTTGTACTATTTAAAAGAATTATTGCCTATACCACAATATAGGACTTTACTCTCGTGTTTCACTTGCATTGAAGAACAAGAACAATCACTGAATGTGATAAAGTTTACCCCCCGTATACAGAAAATCATTTATCTTAATTCAATGACAATTGCAAAAAGGGGCATAGGTCTTTTTGTATAACTATCGAAATATAAAAACGCTCATAGAGGAAGGAGGCATTTATGAATGAAGCACTGTCAAGTTCATTTCATTAATTATAACTAAATTTCGTCTTGTCCATTAAAGAACAAAGTTGTAGAAATTTTAAAGTAAAAAGATTCCATGAAGACCATTTAAGTGTAATAGCATATTCACTTTAGGTAGAATGATGATCATGTCTTACATGTTTTTAAGTTTAGTTACGTTTTACAGAATTCAAATAAAATTTCATAATTTTCCTTGAGGGTCAATGACAATTATAAGGCAAAGAAATACCTCAGTAATTTGGCAAACAATGATATGAAAATTCAATATCTTGCATTGACTTCAAATGTCAAAGGTCAATATAGGTATAGATAATTTGTAAGTCCACTTGATGATTTTATCTAAATTAGTCTAAATGGAATAAAATCAGACTATTATTAACACAATTATAGCAAATCCCGCAAAATTCAGCCAGATTCAATTATTTGACCTATACTTTTAAGGTCAATTTAACGCCAATGGAGTAACTGAATTGCTCACCATGATAAGTGTGTGTGGTTTATTTGATCAAACATCAATCAATTCCTTTCAAAAAATAAAAAGTATGGCTAATTTATGGAAAGCAAAATACATATAAGTTCAAAATCATGTAAAAGTCAATGTTAGGTTAAGTTTGTCCTACTAAAAAGCTCTCCAAAATGTAGTTTTGCGCATAAATGTATACAGAACAGCTAGATAAAACAAACTTATGGCCATCTATAAAATAAACAATAAATTGACATTACTTGTCGAGATCATGTCAAGGACACGGCCAAACTTGAGTTGCTCAACATGACATTCTTATACTAATGGTTGTTCTGTTTACGTGTCAATCAAATCCATCCATTGATTCCAAAAGTATGGCTATCTTTATAATAAAAAAATAAAGTCATACTATGCTCATCATTGAGAAAAATATATTTTAATCACAGAAATATAAAAAAATTATGACATTCGTATTGAATATGTCTAATTTAAGTAAAAGAATGAATAAAGTAAACTATGTATAGGAAGCTGCGTTCCCAATTACCCAATTACAGGTCATTTAAACTTGGTCTTTTTTTAAAAAAAACAACAAAAAAACTGACAGTTTTTTTAATGACACTATATATTCATATTGTGGCCACCGTTAATGTGTTGAAATTAAAATATATCATTTTTTTGTGTGTGAAGTCAAAACATGTTTATTTTATATTTACAAAGAGGCTGTGTAGCAATTACCAATATTTTTTAATATCAAATTTGAACATAATATATCATTAACAATTCGACCTTAAAGTTGGAGGTCATTAAAAGCTCAAAGGTTAAATTTTTGTTGCACAATATGACTATTTTATGCATAGTGTTGATTTGTTTAAGGATGAATTAAATCATTCTAAGAAGAACTAACTTATGCCAAACATTTTGGCAAAATTGTATTACTTGATATTTAAGGTTAAGGTAAAGTTCAGCTTGACCTACTAAAAGGGATTGTTGAAAGGGTTGCTGTGTCTAGAATGAATATAATATCTATATTCATAACAAGCTTAAAGCTAATCATTATAGTGTTAGTTATTAATTAAGATAATGTGTCAAGAAAGCCAGATTGTATTAATTTAAAAGATTTATCAACGCCCACTGGGTGGGCTTTATTTGAAAGATGAATTTCACATTCCTATGTTATAGTATAGTGAAGTATTTTCTTAAACGATATGAACAATAATTGTTAGCTTTTATTAAGAATTTTAAAGTAATTGAATTGTCCTTCGGCTAGTAGTTCAAACCCACCTACATTTAAGAATAGTCACTACTTTGAGCCAGAAATGTAATTTAAAAGATATTTTATCGTATTTTCCTTGTTATTTGCGGTTCAAGTTGGCATCACTGTCTTCATACAGTAAAACCATGTTCATACATCTAGCATCTTTATTATAGGATACCTTCTCTTAAACTTCCAACATTGTTTTTTAAACACGTTATATTATACTCTGTCAATCTGTTAACTCATAATTCAGATTTTGACAACACAAAAATTTTTGATGGTATTTCATGTTTTAATTTTGTCGATATGCATTTTAATGAAATTCATAAAATAATAAATATGAGTTTTATCAAGCGGCATTCAATTTTTTACATTAAATGACATGACTCAATTATCTCAAAGGACCAAAAAAATATATTTACTCTGAAGTGTCAAATAAGCCATTGTGTGGCACTTGACGCCTTCTTTGCGAAGGGTAAAAGTTGAGAGAAAGAGATCCCCCAGAAGCAAAGTAAACAACAGAATTACTTAAAAGCTGCAGACTCGGTTTCCATAAGAATACATATATTAAGATAAAGTAAATGTGTGAAATCTATCGTTTCCATAATACTTGCTTTAGAGTCTTAATTTTGTCAAACTTTGACATGTACTGAAATCACTTTCCCTTTTATAATATAAGCTTGCACAATGTTTCTACATATTCAATTATACACTACATGGTATAATGCCAATAACGTCATTTCGCAAACAAAGATCGGGTGTTATCAAGATTTGTTGGGCTGCATTGTTGCATGTGATGCATGCATTACGTGTAGACAAATATGTTAAAATGTTACTTTTGTTGTGGTTACTGTTGTCTTAAAATATTTATGATTGTTTCTTCAGGGTGTAGCTCTATATTTGACAATCACATATCATCCTGATCAGAAAAATGGAAATTAAAACAAATGAGATAAACCCATCGGTAATATTTATCAAATTCATATATCATATTTATCATATTCCTTTCTAGATTACGCATTATATATTGTTGCAAAGATAATTGTTATTACTTACGTATCTATACCTTATTGATATGCTTGTTTTGCTTATTTTTCTTGGCATTTTTAAGTCATAAAGCGGATAAAGTAGCATCAAATAGAATTTTGAAATTCATTTATAAGAAAGGAAACCTTTAACATTATTCTTATTATTGTTACAGAAGAGCTGTGATTTGACAAGAGGGCATGAACACTACCTCAGTCATATATTATTATTGGAAAAAGCTTCGCCCATCGCATTGAAGGCCATTATAAAAAGAGAAGAGAAAAAATTTGGAAAAGATATTGGGATTTTGCTAATTGAGAATAAAGATACGTTTAAAGCCCAGTACGAAATAGAGTATCTTCAATTATTTCAAAGAGAAGATGTCAATGACGACATTGATACGTGGGACACTCTTCAATTGTGTGCTGTAACATTTGCTTTGTTTAAATCTGATCTAACTGAACCAGAAGTTAAAGCCATTCAATGTATATATGATCAGAGGAAAGATATTGAACATTACGTAGAATGTGCCTCCCTAACATACAATACCTACAAGGAGAAACAATATTTATTGCACAACCAATTACTTGAGTTAATAACGCTCATAGACGACCAAGCTAATCTTGATTGTAAACGTATGGTGTTTTCATTTCAATCAAAATCAATAAAATTAAGCGAATCACAGATAGGCAAACTAACACAGACAGATGACATTAACACTCATCTTAAAATTGCAATAGAAGAAGATGTCGTAACAGAAAACGTTATCATTGGCGAAGAGAACGATCAACAGTTCCAGACAAATGGTAAGCATTTCTTTTACAGTATGAATTTAAATTTGTTCATATGGCTATCTTTTATCTAAATACATTACTTTATGCACACGTTTGTATGCAAGTTTTAAAAATAGTGTTTATCTTTGGCTATAGCGATATTATTGTTTTTATTGATATCCAGGATCGAATATCAAGTAAAGTGAGCGTTCATGTGTGTTTATTCTAAACTTGTATTCGGCATGAGTGAAACTGATACAAAACATGGTCAATCAAATGATATATAATGTACTTTATCTTTGAAGACATTTTAAACATGTATTAATTCCATGTTTACCTGACTGAACCAGAACAAGGCATGGACAAATTATTCTAGAGAATTTACTTTATGTTTACTTCTTTGTGATATTGTGTTATTATTGTTTCTGCTGTTGTCTATTTTATTTCATTGAATCATTTTGTAAGACGCTGGTCAAATTTTACAATTATATGCCTTGTGCAAAGTATTTCATAAAATATGAGATAGTATTCAATTTGATAATGACACGAACAGTATAACCTCTGAAATAACAAAGGTAGTGTTCATGCCCTCTAGTGACACGGACAGATGACATTAACACTCATCTTAAAATTTCAATAGAAGAAGCTGTCGTAACAGAAAACGTTATCATTGGCGAAGAGAACGATCAACAGCTCCAGACAAATGGTAAGTATTTGTGTTACAGACGTATGAATTTAAATTTGTTCATATGGCTATCTTTTATCTAAATACATTACTTTATGCACACGTTTGTATGCAAGTTTTAAAAATAGTGTTTATCTTTGGCTATAGCGATATAATTGTTTTATTGATATCCAGGATCGAATATCAAGTAAAGTGAGCGTTCATGTGTGTTTATTCTAAATTTGTATTCAGCATGAGTGTACAATTATGTGCTTTATGCAAAGTTTAGCATAAAATATGAGATCGTATTCAATTTGATAATGAAAGGAGCAGTATAACGCCTCGGGTAACAGAATATTTTCGAAGGATGATATTTTTACTATTCGTCACAAAGCCATGTGTTATGTATTCTATTACCACGAACGAATACTGCAATGATCTAAAAAGTTCAATTAAATCTAACTGTAACAAAAATGAACCAAGAGTAACAATTACTCAACTGTCCTTGCCTTACAAGTTGTAATTGAACTATTTTTCTTTTATTCTTTAAGAGAATGACGATATCAAACAGTCATAAACATACAATAAGCTGTCTTTCATTTGTAAACGAAAACACACACACATTTATCCGTTATGATCTATGAAAACTGATCCTATGCTAACCAGAAAATTATTCTCATGGACTTCGACAATGTGCATATACGGAATTACGATGGTATCCTACATCTTCATGTTTCACTCATTAAATTTGTTAAATAATCCTTTTTGCATGCTTTAATCGTATGTTTGTTCCATTTTGACACATATTAAATCACATGCAATAACTTCCGAAGAAAACGAATTTGTATTTCTTACTAATAAATAATTCATCCAAAAGACAATTAAGACGCGTAATACTTTCCAGATGCAAACAATTAATATTTCTGTCTTGCATTAGTCTATTTGGTAGTGGCCCTTCGTGGTGAACATCGAAAAATTAGAGATTTAACCGAGAAAACGAATGGCGGCCATTTTTGTTTTAGAAAATAAACCACGTGACCAAATTTTATACTGTTTAAAAGAACTTTTACTTATGTAACAGTACAAATTTCTTAGTGATGTGCTACACTACAATTAACACCAAGTAGCCTATGGTAAATTAACATTACCAAAAAGTGACAGGTAATAACATATAAAAACTTGATATAGCTGAATTATAATCATATAAACAAAATGCAATATACTTCAGGCCAAATGTTCACTGAAGAACTTCAGAACAAATCTGTCTACGTCAATGATTCAGCTGTTTTGACATGTAAACTGAACATTCCAACAGATGAAAATGTTGAGTGGAGGAAAGATAACAAGCCGGTTGAAACTTCAAACAATTTAATGGTCATGAGCAAGAATGGCAATCACTGGTTAGCGATTTCCCGTGCATCATTGGAAGATCTGGGTCAATATACGTGTATATTTGGCCATATTTCAACATCCGCTGATCTTACTGTTATAGGTATACTTGTATTCTTGTTGAATGCTAAGAAGCAGATAAAGAGATAGTCATACCTTACCATGGCATTTACAATTGATAACTTTTAAAGCTTTCTATCTAGTTAGTAAAACGAGTATATGAAAATTATTATTTTAGATAAGGCTTGAACTTACGTTTGATTGACAACTAACGACATTATGATAAGTCTATTCCATAACCAAATAATAATTGCTACTTTGGTTACAAGGATTAGGAAGCGTAAATATTTGTACATTCACGAAAAAGATCCTGCTAGGAAAACTTTGTTATGGCAACATTATTTTTGAGTTTCTTTTAGTACATCATTGCAAACGAAAAAACATTTGCTTCATGAATTAATCATTTTAATGTATAATTTATTTTCAAAACAAATAATGTGTGTATTTTTTTCATATATTGCAATATTAGATTTAATATCGAATGATCAAAGGAATTGCAAATTTATTATGCTTCGTTCAATTATCATGATCCCATCATATTGAAACAGATGAGGCATTACGTGTGGTCGTTGATTTGCCTGTCAAGATTGAAGTTATTGAGCATGGAAACATTGATATAGAATGTAAGGTGAACCTGCTATCGAGTAAACCTATTTGGCGACACAAAGGGGAAAGTCTACAATCATCTTGTAGAAAGGTTATACTAGCCAAGGGTAATACACATAAATTGATGATCACGAATGTAACATTACACGACGAGGGTGAATATATAGTTGACTTTGGGAATGTCTCATCTAAAACAACAGTTCAAATACAAGGTAAAATCAACACATTTGGAAGTTATTTTAGTTCGGGTAATATTGATACTATTTGTTGTTAGTTTTAATTCGACCTTTTTGTAAGTTTTTTGTCACAACATGATTGTATTCATTTGGTTTTGGTCCAGACTTTGACTTTAAATTTAAAAGCAAACAATGCCATTAATTCCATACCGAATTTGGAAGATGCCAGATCATTGGTGCAATTTTCTTCAATTTATTTTAGGGGAAACAGACCTTATCCACAGAAAACAGATAAAACACGAATTGTACAGAAATTGGATGAGAGGCGCTCTAGCGTTAAAATATTTGAAAATCGGTTTAGAGGGGTTTTCCGACAAGGTTGCTACTAAACAACATAATGATCTAATGAAAACTATTGGAAATACATGCAACACTTGTACAGAGAGAAGTCTTCTCCCACATAAACAAGATCAATGCCCACGGCAAGGAAAACATCAATGTTTATGTACTAAGAGTCAGAAAAACAAGTCAAGACAAATGTGTCCAAATGGGGGATTTTGTGGCAACGTTTATAATCGAATAGTTTGTAAACATCGCTTTCAAAATCCATCATTCACGAACACGGATGTCTTGAAATGGAGCAGCGATCCATGGAGTGTTGCTACATGCTTTATAAATACTACTGGCTACAAAGGCAAACAATCAGCTAAAGATATCGACTGCTCTGGTTTACTTAGTATGTGTATAAACACAGTTGATATAGAAAAGATGCTTGGAGAATGTATCATCGATGGGAAAATAGATGCGTTTGCACAGGTAAACATCTTCATAAGTAATCACATATCGATGTATGTATCTCAATTGAAAATTGTATATATATGATATTTAGACTTTTTTGTGCAAGTCAATAACAGCCTTTTTCCAATTGACCTTAAAGTTTATTAATTCATAAGTAAATTGTTTTTTGGCGACAAATAAGAATGAGACTTTAAAAATAAATACTGAAGTGTTACTTTTATAGGCAAGGGAGGCGCGGAATGATATTTCTTCACAGTCCAAACTATGAACTATCTGAAAATCAACTAAACAAGTTTATCAAAATGTTCAAAGAAGTACTAGAAATCAAGGACAAACAAGCAATCACCTCTGAAAGGGGATCAGGCCGTTGCCAAAGGGCCTTACATTTAACTAGATATGTAACTATCACTATAAGAGTAATTATAAAGACAAAAATTGCCGATGGATACATTTATTGGTTCTTTGAGAATAAAATCGTATGATCTTTGCTAAAATATCAATTAAGAATATTTGATCAAATTTGTCATATTTTTTTACATAATAACCTTAGCAATTTCTAACGTCTTAAGTATTGTTATTTAATTATATTATTTTCCTATAGATGTAAGGATTTGTAATAATTACGTTCAGGTTCTTGCATTATCGCAAGGTTTGAAAACACTTTATCGTCTATGATATGTAAGTGCATTATTTCCAGAATAATAGTAAGAACACGCTTGACTAAATAGTAAGTACAATAACTTATTTGTTCTAACCACGATAATGAATGATCAACTCTGTACCCTCTTGCAAACGTGAGCTCATTACTTTAAGGCTTTTCCCACATATACTCAGTCAATTATGATAGAACATGATTGCAACAATGCAGGAATGAAAAAATGATCAACAAAAAGCTTATTCACTATTAAACAATATTGCAGTTTTTGTTTGTTAAAAGATTTAACCTGGTAAATCTTAAGTTTCATTAGACCTACCCATATTTACGTCTTTGCTTTCAAAGTGAACAAAAGTCCTTCCATTCTTACAGAAAGGGACAATTATCATTCTGGCCATTTTTTGTTGTGGACATGAAAAAAAGACAATTTTTTCAAATGAGTTTACGGAACTTGAGTCCTATCATAAATTTCTTACAGGTGCAACAAAATCAGATGAATTAACCTGAGGCATAGAATGATAGAACTGAGAGAGCAGGAATGTCTAGAATTAGAACGAGAAAACCAAACAGCAAAACAACAGGCAAGTTTTTAAACGCTAATCATTTGAGTATGTTATAACATGTTTTCAAGACCGAGTCAAGGCAATGATAAAGTAAGAAATATGATTTCCAAGTCTCATAACAAAGGATAATAAGTAAGTAAGTAAGTTTAGTAAGTAGGTAGGTAGGTACGTACGTAAGAAGGTAAGTAAAGGCTTTGTTTATCGAGGCTTTACATTTGGTTTCCCATCTTCAATGCGGGCCTTTTAGTTTAAAGGTATTTGAAAGAAAATACTGCGATTCGAAAATTGCTTATCTATTTATTGTGTACGAATCATTACTAAAAAAGAGTTGTTAAAACAGATGCCCTTTTTGGCTTGCAGCATTGGAAAACTTGTTCCTGTTAGGTGGTTTCCTGCTCACATCTGTTGGTGCATGATTGAACGGGAAACCAGCTGCAATCGTGCCAATCGCAACTTTTTCGGCCTTTCCGTTACTCTTCGGATTAATGATAATAGCCGATGTAGTTCCGATTGCAACCGTGACAATTCGGGCGATTCCGTCATACTGCGGAATCAGACGAAGTAATATTACGGAAATCTAAGCTATTTTAGTTACTTCGGTAATCCCAGTTTGTTTATATAAATAGGATTTCTATTTTTACTCGATTTATCGGTTTAAACCGTAATAAATTATAAACGAAATTGTTCCGTTTCAATTGTTTTTCAAAACGCAAAAGTTAGTGTCTTTTATAATTGTTTTTTTTTTTTTTTTTGTCTATTAGTTTTTATACAATAGAGAATGGTCCGTCTTCAAAGGGTGGTCCTGCTTACCAAATCACGCATGATCGAGTTATATTTAGATCTACTGAACGCAATTCAACTTCTTGTGAGGTAATCTAAAAATAGCCAATGCATATCATTAACCTTGCCACGTGCTGACTACAGATATTTGTGATTGATACATGCTTATTAATTGGTACCACGTAAGTTATTTTAGTGCATTTACTTGTCTATAAAGCAAAGGAATTATTTCGCTGCGAAAAAGGGAAATGAAATGTGCACACTTGTTTCCCTTCAGTATCACGTTAGTATTTTTTACGATTGATCATTTTCTTTATTAGTTTTATACAATAGAGAATTAGATTTCAAATCGTTTTGATAAAATTATTCGGTTTTTCCAAAAAAAACAAAAAAAAAAAAACAACAACTAAATAAACCCTTTATGTTATACAAATACCGTAATTCAAAAAAAAATGTGATAATAAATTGAAACCAAAAAGAAACAATTTTAAAGGGTTGGGATGAAGGCACGACTGTGCAAGCCTTTCCTTTTAAAAGGAAACTTTATTTACTCTCATTGTAATTGTATCTCTGTTAGCCACCATGCACGCTTGAATATAAAGCCTCGTTTAGATTTCTTTAACATTACATTCGTAAGTAGTGAAAAAGTAGGTTATCAAATGTAGTATTAAAAACGGTGGAATCCGAACATTTCTAGTGATTCCGTTAGTGTTATATGGGTCTAAGAAAATAAGGCATTTGATTAAAATTACCAAAATAAATATAATTAAAATTAAGTTATTTCTTCGTCGTGTTTATACATACGCGCATGGTTCGAAAAAATACTTTTCATGAAATATTTTTAAACGTTTTTTTTTTCAGCATGAACTGAAACTTCAAATTATAGAGCAACAGATAAAAGGTTTGTCCTTGCATTTTAATTTGAAAAAATAAGAGCTGATCCTTATACGAAAAAAAAATTCTACTAGGTCATTCGACCATGAGTTGAAAATCAAACTAACTTATTATCGAGATACATGTAACAGTGTAGTTCACAAATCCGTATCCGTTTGAAAAGAATACATTTATTACCTTATATTGCACAAATTCATAAAATTGATTCCATTTAATGATAGAACGGTGATTGACCAAAACCGTAACATTATGCAAATTGGCATAAGGATTTAAACATATTAATACTGATTACTCGTACAAAGCTACAAAGAGAAAGAAGAAAAAAAAATGAAGCTACAAAGAGAATTTGAAATGAAAATGATATTTGAATAGACATATTCAGGAAAGAAGTGTTGAGGATTTTTGACACTATTACAAGTTATATATAGAGGTCATGCAAAAACATTTTCTTATAAAACGTTTTATTTCTATACTATAAACATCAATCAAAAGAACGTCAGATTCTAAAAATAATATTGCTGTAAAAGAATAATCAATAAATAATTATACTTAATTTCATCTACGAAAACATTCCGAGTTTTGCAGACTTTGTCTAAGTGCTTGTAACTATAAGCAGAAACAGTGTTTGTTGTTTTAAAGTTAAAACACACACGTGTTGGTCTGTCGAAATAATCTTGCAAATGTTTGGTCTAAAAGATGTATCTTCCATTCATATACATGCCGAATTAATTAAAAAATAGGATATGCATCAACTCTGTTTAGCATTATTGAATATATTTACATACATTTCCAATATTGATCGATTGTGTTTTATTTACAGATAAAGAAAATGAGCTTCGCTTATGCTAAATCTTAGATCTGCGGGAAAACAAAATAATCTTAAAGGTACTTCATGAAAAATAAAATACTTAAAACCTTTAAATGCACGGCTCTTATTTGGTAAAAGATCAAAGATTTGTTAACATTGAAAGAAGACAAACCAAAAACATATAAGAACATAATGTTATTTTATACATTCATTTGTTTTAGGACTAACACGATAATGTAACTAAAACGAGTTGAACTAGATATATTTGAAATATACAATAATTCATGCAATCAAAGAACCATTCTCTAAAATTTCCTTGTTGTTCTTGCATAAAACTGGGCACGTAGTGTATATAACGAAGACGGAAACATACTTTTACAGATATAAACGCCAAGCAAGCACTTGTTTAAAAATGCATGACTCGGGCGCCATGTATAACAATATAAACGGAGGGCATGACGAAACCTTGTTACAGTAATGGAAAGAAAAATAACGAAACGCAAATGTTACTATTTAAGAATAGCGCTAATATTACAATTTGTACCTGAATTATATCTGCATATTTAATCCACGTTAGACCGTGCATTAATTTTCTATTATTATTTTTTTTCAGAGTATTCAATAAATTGGATTTAAACGAAAAACCCCACGGTAACAAATAAGCGTTCGTATACGAATTTAAATGAAGTCTATAAATCAGCTCGTTAATGCGCTACGTCATGTTTTATAGTTGCTCATCCGGAACACGGCAAATATGATATTTCTGGCAAACAACACTTAGCCGTTTTAAGCTCACGGTGCAACTAAGCCTGGGATTCCAGCGAAAGTAACATGCCGTAAAAGATAAAGTTTTACATTATTATATCTGTACAAGCGGAAAATACGGTAATTAGACTGCTACTTATGTCATGTTTTGATATAAAGATGTCCGGAGAAAACCGAAGGCGGAAGTCTCAAGCAAACAGAAATTGTACTTCCCATTAACTAACACAAGAGTTACCCATTTGTATCTAAAAACTCATTTGCGTATCGACACAAAATAAAACCTGGAGCGATAATAAAACCCAATAAATGAAATGTCGCTATTAGTTATAAATATTAAATGTAGCTTAAGTGTCACAACAACATAACCAGAACAGCCTGTTGCCTTTTGTCGCAAACACCTAGTTAATCATCTCGATATTAGTGATTTATTTATAAATAGCTAACGGGTTCATTTTGCCAGGCCCATTTATGGCAAATTCAACCCATATTGTTTTACGCGCTTTAGAAAAATGTTAAGTATTTTAAATTCTTTATTAACGTATTGATAAAATGCATGAACATTTTGCATTTACCATTGAAAATTTTGCAATTGCCTTGCTATTTAAAGTGCTAAAAACGTTTAATTCACGAGCCATTGTTATGATTATAATTGAAAACTGAATTTTGTGACTTGCAAAGCCAAACTTATCAGTGAAATGATTTTTTTCAAAAAGCATTTTCTTTTTAAATTTTCTGAACTGAATTAATCATCACTATCGTCATCATTAACATTATACTCATCTAGGCATCATCATTGTCATCACCATCGTAGCCGGCTTAATCATTATCGTCGCCGTTCATATCTTCATCATAATCATAATAGTATTACGAGTTTAATCCTCATATTATCTTAAAGAACATTTTGCTCTTAGATGAGGCGTTCAATAACAGTCATATTTACTGACAAATTTCCTGACCAGTTGTACAATGAACAATACTGAAATTTGAAGCTTTATTTTATGTTGCATTACAGTTGATATTGCTGTTATACATATATACATAATAATTCGTGTGTCATACATGGTCATTTCAAAGCGCATGGTATTTGGATTCTTCAAAGCTTTAAAATCTATGAAATGGTATGTCAAGGATGATTTTCGTTCATGTAGGCCTTCAACATCGTTTACCATAGCAAGCACTGCTGCTGTCAAGGTTATAACAAAGCATGATTCAAGTTTGTCAGAAAGGATATATTTGTTTTACTGAAATATCAAACAAGAAGTATTCATTTTATTCTGACCGAGCGTTTAGGTCAAAGAACGTTTGCTCCAGATGAGTACCGCATTTGCTCACAAAGGAGCACCCGTCTAAAATATGCCAACGATATTCTAAATGCATACAAAAACCGCAATTTTCGCATTATGCCTTTATTGCTGATAGGTGATGAAATGTCGATAATAGTGTTTTCGAAAAGATAAAAAGGTCTTGTATTGCCAAAAGGACCATCAGAATAGAGACGAATTTCTTATATTCCAAAGGAGAATTTGTTTAATTGCCTTATTAATCTCGTCATACAGTCACATAATCCTTATGCTCCTGATGTATGTCCTTGCGACTTTTTTTCAGTTTTTCAAGACTTAAAATATGCCTTCGGGTAAAAGATATACGTCCAGAAGTTCTTTTAAAAACGCAATTTGTCAGTGTCTGCATCAATCCATAAAAGAATATTATTATTCAGCTTTTCGAAACTAGCAAGAATGTAGATTGGTAGTGGATGCAAATGTTTGAAATAGACACCATTCTCATGAAACGTTACAGTTACAAAAGTTTGACCAGTAACAGAACCTCTTAAATGACCTTCGTTATTGCATTTATTGTTTCCACCGCAGACTCAAAAAAAATGTTGGATAAGTAGTCAATCATTTGCAGAGAAAATCAGAACTTCTTATGTTCATGAAAACTAGATAGGTGGAAATAAAACCAAGATATAACAAAATAAAAGTTTTTATAGTTTCCAATGGCTAGTTAGTAAATATATGCCATGATACTTTTATTGCTCCAGCAAACATTTACGAAAGTAAAACAAACAAGAAAATGCATTGAAAACACATTCTTTTTATCACAAATATATATCAATATATAAAATATCACTCTATGTTACAAAAGATGGGATATTTACAGCAAATTCTTTATTGTTACTTAAAGTTTTAGCAATGCATATAAATGAGTAGAACGAATGACATGTGTTATGTCAATATCTTATTTCTTGTTTCACTTTTTTAAATGGTCTGATGCCTCCTCCACGAGCTATGTTGTCATTTTCAAAGCAAATATTCGGTTTTAATTTTCATACCTTTTTTAATCTGTCAAAGAAATTAATAAAACCATGTATGTTATTTTGAGAAATTTTTCAAATCACTTTGCTGTTCAAAAAGGGGGATTATGAATATTTAGAATTAAGCGTTGATCTGCTTTTGACGAAAATTAACTGTAAAATTCTCAGTACATTTTCAGATGCTCAGTACACATCACAAGATATTCAATATCTAAAATTCTATATATAACAAGTAAAACCCACTTACTTAGCTAGGTATGTAGGAGTAAAGGTCTATATAAAACAAGTTTCTGCTATTCAGTTTTAGGCCTGCTTTATGTTTCCCATAACACTTCAAAACATTGTGATTGATATAAATAGTACTACGCCTTATTTAAATGTATACAAAATAAAAATCTTTATCCTTTAATTTGAAAGGAATACTGTTTAGTTAGTGAAATTGTTTTTGAACATTTTCTATAGTTATAAACATGGTTGGGTTAAGGCCTGTGACTTATGTAATTAACACATACTCTAAAAATTAAACAAAGTTCATAACAAGAAATATTATTAGTTACAACTTCGTAGGTTCATAATCGTTTTTACTTTCATTTCATTTAAACTATATTTTTCACGGAAAGATTTCATACAAGATACATGTTTACTTTTGGTAAATTAGAATTGACATGGACTATACAGACGATGATTTAACTACTGCAGTCTTTTTGAAATGTAAAAAAACAAACAAACAAAAAATACTGCCTTGTAACGAAAATATCACGGGAAACGTTACTGTAATTGAAAATATATGTAGCGCAATATTCCGTATAACAATTATATAAATATCAAAAGTTTCAATCAAAGATACAATATTTTGTGACCTTATTTGTGGGGGCGTCCGTGGCTGAGTGGTTAAGGTCGTTGACTTCAAATCACTTGTCCCTCACCGCTGTGGGTTCGAATCCCGACAGGGACTTTGGATTTTTCATGTGAGGAAGCTATCCAGCTAGCTTACGGAACGTCGGTGGTTCTACTCAGGTGCCCGTTCGTGCCTGGAAGAATTCACGGAAGGGCACCTGAGGTCTTCCTCCACCAGTAAAAGCTGGAACGTCGCGATATGACCTATACTGTGTCGATGTGAAGTAAAACCCAAACAAACAAAACCTTATTTGAGCTGATTTAACAGTTAAGTAGTGGAGTTACATTTCACTGACTTTTATAGGTTATTTGTTTCAACTGTTTCCAACAATAGCTTCTTCAACAGGAGAATTTGACAGATTAGCATGTTCACTTTTTATTTTAAACTGTAGAATATATGTATGAACTGTTAACAGTCTTGATATCCAAGACAATGTTGTTTAAAACCAAAATCGGTTGTAAAATTGACACCAAAGTTTGTTACAATAAAACTATCATCCCGGGGAAATACTGATGGTCTCATAAATTTACGAGGATTGATATCTTAACTGTTTCTCACAAACCTACGTGTTTCATTATCATTTCATTAACCCGAGTAAATACCGAATTTTCAACTAACTGTTACGAATCCTAACATACATTAAATTAATTCTTACATTGCACTATTTTGAACTCAAGAAGTTACACGTATATTTAAATGGATACATATATTTTTTTTGTTGTTGTTATTATTATTGTTGAAATAAAATATTAATGATTGTTCTATCTTCAGAGACAATTACATATCATCCTGATCAGACAAATAGGAATTTAAACAAACGAGATGGAAACATCGGTAATATTTGTCATAATTTTTTGTATTTACATTCCTTTATAGATTACGCATAATATATGATTGCAAAATATTTGTTATTACTTATTTTTACCTTATTGATATGCTTGTTTTGCTGATTTTTGAATTATCCAAACTGAATGTCATGGTATTTTCAAGTAAAAAAGCGGAAAAGGTTGCACAAAATGAAATATCAAATCGCAATTTGAAATGCATTCATAAGAAAGCAAACATCTACAACTATTGTAATCATTGTTACAGGAGAGCTGTGATATCACTAGAGGGCATGAACACTACCTTTGTCTTATATTATTACTGGAACAAGCTTCACCCATCACATTGAAGGCCATAATTAAAAGGGAAGAGAAGAAATGTGGAAAAAGTATTGGTACTTTGCTAAATGAGAATAGAGATGCGTTTAAAACCCAGTACGAAACAGAGTTTCTTCAATTAATTCAAGAGGATGATGTCAATGACGACATTGATACGTGGGACACACTTCAATTATGTGCTGTGACATTAGGTTTGTTTAAATCTGATCTAACTGAACCAGAAGTTAAAGCCGTTCAATGTATATATGATCAGAGGAAAGATATTGAACAGTACACCGAATGTGCCTCCCTAACATTTAATACTTACAACGAGAAACAGCATTTATTGCATGATCAATTACTCGAATTGATAACGCTCAAAGACGACCAAGCCAATCTCAATTGTAAACGTATGATGTTTTCATTTTAATCAAAATCAATGAAACTAAGCGAAACACAGATAGACAAACTAACACAGACAAATGATATCAAAACTCATCTTAAAATTGCAATTGATGTAGATAGCGTAACAGAGAATGATATCATTGGCGAAGAGAACCACCAAAAGCTCCAGACCAATGGTAAGTATTTGTGTTACAGTATGAATTTAAGAGTTTCCCGTGATATTGTTATCTTGTATCCAAGTACATTACTTCATGAACATGTTTATATACAAGTTTTCAAATAGGGTTAATCTTCAGCTATAACGATATAATTGATTTAGATAGCCAGGATCGAATATAAAATTAAGTGAGCATTCATGTGTGTATTTTAAATTTGTATTCAACATGAGTCAAACTGATACAATACATGGTCAATCAAATGATATACAATACAATTATATGCTATATGCAAAATATATAATAAAATATGAGATCGTCTTCAGTTTGATAATGACACGAACAGTATAACGCCTCGGGTAACAGTATTTTAACGAGGGATTATTTTTTTACTGTTTCTCACAAAGCCATTTGTTATTTATTGTATTACCCCGAACGAATACTGCAATGATCTGAAAACTTCAACTAAATCTACCAGTAACAAAATTGAACCAAGATTAACAGTAACTCAACTGCCCTTGCCTTACAAGTTTTAAGAGGAGTTAAACCGTTATTTTTCTTTTATACTTTAAGGGAATGATGTTTGAGTATATCTACCAGTCATAGACATGCAATAAGCTGTGTTTCATTTCCATTTCGATAGTATCTTACATCTGTCTACCACAACTGTCATGTTTCCCTGATTAAATTCGTTTTTCTTGCAGCTTTGATATTCTGCTTGTTCCATTTTGACACATAGTTATTCCAATGCAATAACTTCCAAAGAAACTAAATTTTTATTTCTTACTATTCAATAATTCAACAAAAGACAAGACGCGAAAGACTTTCAAGATGCAAACAACTAAACTTATTGTCTTTCATTAGGTTATCTGGTAATGGCCCTTCGTGGTGAAAATCGAAAAATAAGAGGTTGAATAGAGAAAAAAGAATGGCTGCCATTTTTGTTTAAGATAAAAATAAACCAAGTGACCCGATTTTATACTCTTACAAAGTATTGTTAACAGTACAAATTTCTTATCTACGTAGTTCACTTGCATTGACTGTATAAATAACTCCCAGTGACTTATGGGAAATTAACATTACCAAAACGTGAGGGGTAATAATAAACAATAACTTGATATAGCTGTATTATAATCTTAATGACAAAATACAATATACTTCAGGCCAAGTGTTCACTGAAGAACTTCAGAACAAAATTGTCTACATCAATGATTCAGCTATTTTGACATGTAAACTCAACCTTCCAACAGATGAAAATGTTGAGTGGAGGAAAAATTACAAGCCGCTTGAAAATTCAAACAATTGTATGGTCATGAGCAAGAATGGCAATCATTGGTTAGCGATTTCCCGTGCATCATTGGAAGATACGGGTCAATATACGTGTATTTGTGGCCATATTTCAACTACAGCTGATCTTACTGTTATAGGTACTCTTAAATTGAATTATAACAACAATGCCTGAGTTCTGTTTCAATGCTTAGAAACAGATAAAGAAACAAGTTAAATGTTGATGCTGCACATCAAAGACGTCGCAAAATAATCCATTGGGGTTAAAACAATTACTGAAATCCAACTAGTCTACAATGTCAAGAAATACTCCCCGACTGGCCGATGCATAATTAAATATTTGTACAACAGATAAAAGATTTTCAATTTAAGCCCTTTTTATCATTTTTAAAATGCAAGTTTACACTTATCTGTCTTTGTTGTAAAACATGTTCTATATATCGTCCATACAATGACTCCTACATATAAGGAGGCATAACTCGATTGAAAGTGCATTACGGTTAATAAACTCATTACGCTGATTATACTGTAATTATCATAACGAAAGAATAGTTGTTATTTTGATTAAAAAGACTAGGAAGCGTAAATATTTGTATCTTCGTGAAAAATAACCTGCTAGGAAAACTTTGTTGTGACAACATTTGTTTTTGGTTTCTTTGAGTACATCATTGCGAACGAAAAAGGTTTGCGTCATACAAAACATCATGTCAATGTTTGATTTATTTTCAATACAAATATGTGTGTATCTTTTATAAATTGCAAAATATGATTCAATGTCGAATGATCGAAGCAATTACAAATAAAGTGTGATTCGTTTAATTATCATGATCTAATTCATTTGATAGATGAAGCATTAAGTGTGGTCGTTGATTTGCCAGCCAATATTGAGGTAACTGAGAATGGAAACATTGATATAGAGTGTAAGGTGAACCTACTTACGAGTAAACCTGTTTGGCGATACAAAGGGGAAATTCTACAATCATCTGGTAGAAAGGTTATACAAGCAAATGGTACTACCCACAAATTGATGATCATGAATGTAACACTACACGACGAGGGTGAATATACAGTTGACTTTGGGAATGTCTCATCTAAAACAACAGTTCAAATACAAGGTCAATATATATGAATGTTTTCTTCGTTTTACTTTACACTATTCATATAATTGGTTTTAAACTCTATCAGGTCCTTTACATAAAAATTTATTCAATTGGTTTGTGTCAAACCTGGTAAATCTAAAAACAAACAATGCATTTAATTTCATACCGATTTGCCAGATACCAGAAAATCATTGGTGCAATGTTTTTCAATTTATTTTAGTGGAAACAGATCTTATCCACAGAAAACAGATAACACAAGAATTGTACAGAAATTGGATTAGAGGGGCTCTAGCGTTAAAATATTTAAAAATAGGTTTAGAGGGTTTTTCCGACAAGGCTGTTCACAAACAACATAATGATCTAATGGAAAATCTTGGAAACTCCTGTAACACTTGTACAGAGGCAAGTCTTCTCCCACATAAACCAGATCAATGCCCACAACAAAGAAAACATCAATGTTTATGTACCAAAGATCAGAAACAGAAGTCAAGACGAATGTGTCCAAACGGTGGATTTTGTGGCAACGTTTATAATCAAATAGTTTATAAACATCGCTTTCAAGATCCATTATTCACAAATACAGATATCCAAAAATGGAGCAGTGATGCATGGAGTGTTGGTACATGCTTTGTTAATACTCCTGGCTACAAAGGCAAGCAATCAGCTAAAGAGCTCGACTGCTCCGGTTTACTTAGTATGTGTATAAACAACACTGATATAGAAAAAATGCTTGGAGGAGTTACCATCGATGGGACAATAGATGCGTTTGCAAAGGTACACATCTTCACCACAGTAATCACTTATTGTTGTATGTAATTTCAATTGAACATTGCAAATACATATTTATACTTCGCCTTTATTATGCAAGTATATAACAGTCTTTTCGAATTGGTTTTAAAATTGATTAATTTATAAGTGAAGTATTTTAGCAACAAATTAAAAATGAGACTTTTGATACCGAAGTGTTACTTTTCAGGCAAGGGGAGCAAGGAATGATATTCTTCACAATCCAAACTATGAACTATCTGAAAATCAACTAAACATGTTTATCAGAATGTTCAAAGAAGTACTAGAAATCAAGGACAAACATGGTAATACACCTTTGAAAGGGGAGCCAGGCGTAGAAGAAGCACTGCGTTTACTAGATATGGTAATATCGTATTTCTCTCCAAATTAAGAATATATTAATCAGATTTGTAATATTTGTTGCACATTATACTTTAGCAAATTCTTAATGTTTACTACTTGTTATTTTGTAACAGATGTACGATATGAATAAAATAGTACGTTCTGGTCCTTTTGCATATGTGTTAAAACATTTTATTGCCTATGTCTGTAAGTACATTATTGTCTAAAGTAGTAAGTACATTACTGACTATAATAGTAAGTACATTATTGACTATGATAGTAAGTACAATCTTTTTATTTGTTCTAATGAATCACTCTGAATCCTCTTACAAACGTGAGCTCGTTACTTTTTGGCTTTTCACACATATACACAGATAAGTATTTGAGTATTTAAAGATTGCAAGAATACAGGATAAAAAATGTTCAACAAAGCTTATTACATGTTAAAAATTCGGCAATGTGTTGTAAAAAGATTTAACCTGGTAAATCTAAAGTTTATTTAGACCTTCCCGTGTGTTACTTCTTTGCTTTCAAGGGCACAATATGCATTCTGTCATTTTGGTCATGACATCATTCTTCAAATGAGTTTACGGACCGGAGTCCTATCATATATTTCTTACAGGTGCAACAAAATCAGATTGAGATTAACCTTGAACATGAGATGAGAGAGCTGAGAGAGCATGGGATGTCTAGATTAGAAGAGAAATACCAAACATCAAAACAACAGGCAAATTTTATAGCTTATGCATTTGAGTATTGTTATAACATGCTTTAACGACCGATAAAGTGAGGCAACATTGATTTTCAACTCTCATAAAATGGATGATAAATTCAAAAGGTCTTTGAAAAATACTGTGATTCTAAAGCTGTTTCCCTTTATTGTATACGAATCATTACTGAGAAAAAGATGTTAACACTTGTCTTTCTGTTAGCCATCATGTACACTTGATAATATAGCCTCATTTAGATTTCTTAAACTTAAAGAATACACTGAGGCAAATATTACATTCGAGAGCAATTGTAAAGAATATAATTTTAAATGGCATGAAATTGTTATTACGTTAATATACTTCGTGGTCATCAACAGTTCTTACCTTCTGAATTCTACTTCAGGTAATCAAAGGTAATATTTGGACGGTGGTATCCAGTGTTCCGTCAATATTATAATCGGTCTAAGAGAATTAGGAATTAAATGAAAATGACCAAAATAAATATCATTAAAATGAAGTTTCTTCTTCGTCATGTTTATGTACGATAAGCGCATGATTCGAATAATATATATTATGTAACACTTTAAACTTTTCTTTCGTCAGCATGAATTGAAACTTCAACTGATAGAGCAACAGATAAAAGGTTTGTCCTTGATATTTATTTGAACAATGAAGAGTTTATCCTTATGTAACATATTCTACTAGGGCATTAGATCAAACATAATTATTATCAAGATCCGTAACAGTGTAGTTCAAAAATTCTGTATTCGTTTGAAAAGAATTACTTTTATTCCCTTATATTGCACAAATTCATAAATTGGTTCCTTTTTATGATAGAACTGTTGGATTTGACAAAACAGTAACAGTAAACATAACTGACATAAGATTTTAACTGATATACTCGTACAAAATGTTTAAATAGCTACAAAGAGAAAGCATAAATAACAAAATGAAGCTAGAAAAAGAATCAGACTTTGAAATAAAATGATGTTTGAATAGACATTTTTCATAAAGGGGTGTTTTAGGATTTGACACTATAAAAAGTTTATAGAAATGAGGTCATGCAATAAACATTTCTTAAGAAAAACGTATTTATTTCTATAAAAATAATAAAAAGAACATCAAATAAAAAACGTATTTATTGTAAAAGAATTATCAGTTAATATTTATAGTAATTTTATCTATAATAGAAAACATTCGAGGTTTGCATATATTTTCTTTTTAAGCGGGGTTGTTACTATGGACAGAAACAGTGTTGTTGTTTAAAAGTTACAAACAAGTGTTGTTCATGTAGAAAATAACTTGTAAAAAATTTGGTCTAAGATGTATTCTTCCCATCATATACATGCCGAATTACTTAAAAATAGGACACGCTTATATTCTTTTAAGCATTATTTAATATTATTTGCCTAAATTTTCGTAATTTCTCGAGTTGTGTTTTTATTTACAGATAAAGAAAATGAGCTTAAGCTTATGCTAAATCTTAGATCTGCGGGAAAACAAAAGAGTCCAAAAGGTACATGATGAAAAACTACTTAAAACCCTGTGAATCAATAAAGTTTTGTTAACATTGAAAAGCAGACAAAAGGAAAAAAAATAAGAACATTATTGTTATTTTATACATTTACTTGTTTGAGGACTTAAATAAGAATGTTACTAAAGTAAGTTGACTGTTGAACTAGCTGTTTGAAAAACATGTACTTATATATATAATTCATATTTAAAATACTAATTCTCTAACTTTCCGTGTTGTTCTTTTATAAAAACTGCGCACGTAGGTATATATAAACGTGTTTTACCAGTATGCACTTTGTTTTTAATATGCATTTCTCAGGGCGCCATGTTTAACGGATATAAAAGGGAAAGCATGGCGAAACCTGTGTTACATTTAAATGAAAAAGTAACGGAACGAAATGTAACTTATTTGAGAAAAGCGCTTATACACATGCAATTTGAGTGTGCATTAATATCTGCATATTTTGATGCACGTTAAACCGTGCATTGATTCTCTACATGTATTATGTTTTTTTGTTTGTTTTTCAGAGCAATTCTTGCTTGATCTACAGATAAATGTTATTGCTAAAAATGGTGAAAAAAGTGCTGAAGGGAATCAACGAATTTATGAAGTAATGAGAGATTATATTAAAGATAACGATGATATGACTGGTTCGTCTTTTGATGAAATATCAACTGATATCCCAGTCTATCACCTCGTAGATTTCATCAAGGCCATACAGGAATGCCGTATCGTTGATATTTTTACCACTGACCAATCGTCAACAGACATACAAATCAACTGTTCAAGTTCGAAGGCCATGGAAGATTTTCTGAAGTCTATCATCAGTAATGAATTTCAACAAGAACTGTTTGACCTTAAACGATGGCTGCAAGTGCAATATGACATTGAATCGTATGACATAATGGCTAATTGCTCATCAAATGGCATAGAGAAAGCAAAACAACGTCTGCGTGAGTTAAATATGAATAATAATGATTTATGATACCTTTTATATTTAACAGTGTTTTCTGCTCCTGTCGGTGCATTTGTTAATCAGTGCATATTAATAGAATTAATTGATTAATCAAAATTAATTAAAAATTGTAAGCTCTATATTGTTAAGATATCTAAGGATTATTGAAAAACTTAATACGTTGATATTTTTATTCTGTAATCACAAAAAAACATATACAGATATTTGAAAACGTAAATCTACTGTCTTCAGACTTTACTGACGTAACCAGATCTTTGACTTGTGCCGAGCATCAAAATACACAATGTACTCTCTATTGTCCTGACCATGACACGTTTTTATGTACAGCATGCAGGGAATCGAGACATGGGTAAGTATACATTTCTTACAATCAGTTATTTATAGTGGTTAAAATGGTACAAATTGGTACAAATTGGTACATATTGAACAAACGAATTTTAAAGCGTGCAACAATGACTATTAACTTATCTTTCAGAAACATTTAAGTTTGATTTCTCTTAAATTACTTGAACAAAAAATAGAAAAAGTAAAGTTTGACTAAAAAAAATCATTCGATACATTTTATTTGAAATATTTCCACCTGTCATATCTGTTTATCTCTGAAATAGATTTATAATTGAGATATATCTAATTATCCGATTGTTGGTAAAATATGACTAATGAACACAAAAATGTCAGCAATAGTTAAACCTCTTTCATACGTCAAAACAACTTTAATTGATCCGACATTTTGATTCCTCATTTTAGCATATTGAAATAATTTAAATTTATGTGGTTAGTACGACGAATGAAACATAATAGAGTCATCACCTTTGACAAAAATTCGAGTGTTGGCAGAAAAATAAGTCTTCTTTTTATAGCAATTGGCCAAAATCACATTTGGTCTACACTGAGATTCAGGTACAGTGTGCGACTAAATGATTTCGAATTACTGGAGTTGTTTTATTCATAAGGTGATGTGGTTTGACCTGAAAACTAGAATATCCGAGGTTAACCAAAATTATCCGTTTCTGTGTTGGAGCAATATGACCTAAACTGTGTTGACCAGTACGCCTTAAAACAAAACTAACAATACATTTTCATATCGACAATGTCCAGCATTTTATTTTGCCAATCTTTTATCTTAATTCGTATTATCAGCTATTAGATCTATTTGAATATGAGAAAAATGATAATTGTTTCAAATATATTTTTATCTTGAGAATGTACAATTTATTTCTCATAAGTAGAATATATGGGATGAGTGTTGTTTTAATATTAAACTTTTTGAAAGAGTTTAAAAAAGACAACAACATATTATGCGAGCCTCTAGCGAGCATAATATTGTTTTATTCAACGAATTTAGAAATTTAGTATTGAATCTACACGAATATGATATTATATTTGTCACATACATAAAATAAGAAAGGTAAACTGTTAAAAAGAGTCATTTTTCATTGACGCACCTATAGTGTAACGCTAACATTAGCGCCCTTTGTCGTCAACAATTTATACCTAATAAGTAACATCCAAATAATCATAAGTTTAACTTATTACTAAAGTGTAAAGACAATACAAAACTTATCAATGTTTTTATATTATGCATTTAAACCGCGTTATGAATTTATATTAATGTCTTAAATTTATGTTAGTTGCTAAATGTTATTACGCAATTACATGTTTTGTAAAAAATGGCTAAAATACTGCTATGACAATAATTATGTCTTTTTTTAAATTTTAACTATGAAATATGGTGCTATATCAGTCATATATATTTCATACTTGTTAAAAATAAATATGAAATATAAATATGAAAATGGGCGGTGTCTTTTTAAGGGAAACATTTTAAGAAAATAAATCTGAACACCGATACATTACCGCTGTGAGTTGTTTACGTGACGTCAAAATATAGCGCCAAACAGTGCGTGCAAAATCAGTCAAAACAATATATTATTGCGCTACAATTGCAGTTGCGTAGCTAGAAAGGGGTTTTATCATTTTCTCTGATAATGAATTTATATAAAAAGTTTAATTTTTCGTTAAAATGCCACATATTTTCACTCGCCGTCCTGGCTCGTGAATAAATATAAACACAATAGCATATTGTCATGGCAGCTTGTTAGAATAATAATACATCACATAATATACATGAGAGTTATACGTATAAAGTATTAAGAGGATATTTTTTCGTTTCACTGAAATATGTTATATATTTTCACAAAACATGATAAAATGACAAATATTTGAAAATAAAAGTATGTATGAGATCCACACAAGGAATCGAACCGGGACGGCGAGTGAAAATATATGGCATTTTATCATGTTGAGTTAAAATATATACAATATTTCACGAAAAACGAAAAAAATAACCTTTTTATTTAATTTCATTATCAAAGAAATATGGTAATGAACCCCATTTTTGCTACGCAACTGCAATTGTACAGCGCGCAGTAATATATTATTGTGTCTTGTTTTGCACGCGATATTTGGCGCTACATTGTGACGTCAAGTAAACAACTCTTTAAACGTCTGTACAGCGTTAATTACTGAATTAAAGATATTGGTGTTCAGATTTATTTTCTTAGTTAGACCATTTTCTATCATTCTAGATAGTTTTCAAAGCAATATTAAAAAAAAGTTGTTTTGTATTAATCAGATTTTTCAAACAAAATAGCAAAAGTAGTTCCTTAAAATAAATATGAGTTTTGACTCCGCCCACTTTCATATTTATATTTCATATTTATTTTTAAAAAATATGAAATATATTTGACTGATATAGCACCATATTTCATGGGAAAAATTAAATAAATAGAGGATATTCAAGTTTTTTCTATAAATACATTATTTATTTTCATCGAGTGGTATGAAAAAAATATTTCATGAGTGGCGGTAGCCACGAGTGAAATATAATAATTTTCATGCCACAAGATGAAAATAAATCATGTATTTATAGAAAAATTGAATTTTCTGTTTATTATATACATTTTTCTCTTTTTTTTTGCGATAAAATTCGAAAGACTTTCCATTAGATTTTGTGTACTGGCAGAATTTAAAAGAAAGTAGTCCGGCATGACACCAGTGAAAATACGGAAAATATGTTTCACTGCAGTGAAAAATAAATCTTTACAGTGAAAATACGGAAAATGAAAATATGCATTTTATTTCATCAATATTTCTCAATATTTCATTTATAAGTATATAATAAAATATATATATATATAATCACGAAACTTAAATTGTGTTCATACATTCGTTTTTAATAGCTGCCATATTTTTACACGCAAGTTTTGGGCAAATTCAACCCATATTTTTACGCGCTTTAAAAATGAGTCCATACCAGAAATAAATCGGAATTAAGGGTAGAATAAACAATTTTATATGAAAGTGTAAGAATATAAAAATGCAGGCCGTCTCTGCACATGAATATGCATATACATACTGAATGTGTATGCATGAACCCGAAAATATATCTTATGTAAATAAGGGTGCAAGCGTTTTTCGAGCTTTTTTATATATTCTTGGGACAGAATTGCAATAACCGCTTATATCTATCAAACATGACTATATGTACTGTTAATGTTTTTTTTTATTTTGGGCGCATGTATACAAATGAACCGATTAACGCCCGATCTAGCGGCGGGTTTATACTTACATAGGCACCGATGCAGCTCAAGAGGGGGAAATCATAGTATATATAATATATTATTTTATTTAATTTTACCCATGAAATATGGTGCTATATCAGTCAAATATATTTAATATTTTTTTTTAAAATAAATATGAAATATAAATATGAAAGTGGGCTAAGTCAAAACTCATATTTATTTTAAGGAACTTCTTTCGCCGTTTTGTTTGAAAAATCTGATAAATACAAAACAATTTTTTCTTGAATTTTGTTTTGAAAACTATCTAGCATGATAGAAAATGGTCTAACTAAGAAAATTAATCCGAACACCAATATCTTTAATTCAGTAAATAACGCTGTACAGACGTTTAAAGAGTTGTTTACATGACGTCACATTGTAGCACCAAACAGCGCGTGCTTACGCATAAATTACTGCGCGCTGTACAATTGCGCGCAGTTGGTAGCAAGCATTTTCTTTGATAATAAAATTAAATAAAAAGGTTACTTTTTCGTTTTACGTGAAATATGGTATATATTTTCACTCAACATGATAAAATGCCACATATTTTCACTCGCCGTACCGGCTCATGAAAATATGTGGCATATTTTATCATGTTTCGTGAAAATATATACCAGATATCACGCAAACGAAAAAATATCCTCTTAATATTATATTATTTTATTTCATATTATATTATATTTTTCTTTCTTTTTATAAAGCAAATGTCATGGAATAAAACAGGTTACATCTCAAAAGTCTTATGATGAACAGAAACGTCGTCTAGCCATCAGAAGTATAAAAGGATCTTATAACGTTAGGATAGATAATTCCTTAATTAATAGAAACAACAATGATAAAGATATGTGTTTAATCACAAGTATATGTATGCTTCCTAATAGTGAAATTCTCCTTGTTGACAAGGAGAATAAAAGACTGA